ATTGATGGGCGCTTGGGTTGTTTCTGCGTCTTTGCAATTGTGAATTGTGCTGCTATAACCATTCAGGTCCAGATATCTTTTTTATAGAATGCCTTTTTTTCCTTTGGGTAGATAACCCAGTAGCGGGATTGATGGATCCAATGGTAGTTCTCCTTGTAGTTCTTTGAGGTATCTCCATACTGCTTTCCACAGAGGTTGTGCTATCTGGGTGAAGGGCACACTTTATAACTTTGACTCAAATTGTACAAAAGCAAATTATGTACCCAAACATGTGTACCCCTGTAATATTCTGAAATAAAAAAAAGAGCACCATGCTTCCCCCAAGTCTTATGACGTCACATTTTCGCTGGTGAATTCTAGCTAAATTTGCCATCATCCCTGCCCTGAAGAACTCTAGAAAGTCACCAGCTTCCAGACGTTGATGGTAAATGTTCACCAGGCAGATATCACTGGGACCTTAGCACACACTAGTATTTCCCCACCAGAACAGTGAAGCGTGGTGGGTTCTAAGCCCACGCACAGAAGCACAGTTTGACCATCATACATTTGAAATACCGTGTGCTTGGCAAGGCAGCGTTACGAAAAGTAACACTCTTGCCCAACTAGTCATGGCACAAACCACTAAGATGGAGCATTTGGCCAAAAGCAGTGACTGGAGATCTCAGCTTTAAGACAGAAGCCGTGCGGTGTCTGCTGGGACTTCGTAACTGTAGGAGCTTGCTTCAGAGAGTAACGGCAGCAACAGACCACCCCTCTCACCCGAGCGCTCTTCCCTTATGGCCAAAGCCATAAATCTTAGACTTGCTGAGCCGTAAGAAGTGAGCGGGATAGAGAGACACAGAGCCTTCAGGTAAGAAAAGAAAGGCGTCGCCTAACCCCAGAGCTCCCTTCAAAGAGCAGGCAGCCTCGGCTGCAGGGCGGCGGGAGTCCAACCACGGTATCGAGAAAGGAAGGTGTCGATACAGCCTCTATCTATGCGTAGCTGAGACCCTTAAATGCATTGTTTTTGCAAAGACTGCAAATTTAAATGTGCATTAGGGGAAAGCCTTTTGTGTAGGAGACCCGTATTTCGCTAAGACATATGAACACTGAGTAACTTCAGTGTGCATTTGAAATTCAGAATACCGTGTTTATATGTGGTTTTCCTTTTCACATTGATTACGACTGGGTCATCCTTCCTCCCTCCAGCCGTATCTTTTTACTTGCCTTTATTTTCTCCTGCTTTCCTGACCACGCCACGTGATCATACTTTTACGATTTCCCTCTGAGTAAGTCTCTGCGTCCTTGCGAGCCATTTCCCCAAATCCTGGGTCATCACGTGACGTTATTTTAGGGAAATGAGCTGAGCTCGGAGACAAGACCTTCTGCTCAACCCTGAGCATGCTCCCGGCACTGTTTGGTTTTCTTTGGGGACCATGTAGACGCAGCTCCTTGGGGTCAGCCTCGGAGGGGAAGCGTCTGTCGTGTGGTCAGAATCAAACAAAACGCAGGGACGCGTGTGTCTCGCGCCGGGATGTCTAGGTCTTGGGCACGCTGGGGCCTTCTAAGGCCTCTCAAAGCTCAAAGCCGTTAATTCCAAATCTTGTCTGATTTTTCCCTGCGTCTTTTTTACGTGAAAACATTCTTTCATCATCAGCGCTTGTCTCCCAAGAACGTGTCTGTTTCTGTTCCTTTTGCTAAGCCTTCTAAGAAACAGACAAGACCTGCCATCTTCTCTCCTCTTTCTTTCATTTCTTCCCTTTCCTCCTCAATTCCTCCCGCTGCCTTTCTCGCCTTGGTAGAGCTAATCAACACCTCTCCAAGGAGGAGGCACTGCGTCTAACTATCTCTTGGGCAAGCTCCTACCAGTAGTTGCTTAGAAATAACCTTTTTGGGGGCTTTTTGAACGGCTGCGTTTTCCCAGCAGGTTTGGGATGCTTTCTGCTCATTTATTTGTTAATTTCTAAGCTCAATGACAGTTCGGGAGGTGCTGAAGCAGCTGTGATCTCTTAAGATCTGGGTGCCGCATGCGAGTTTGCGAGGGCCGCCGTAACGAAGTCACGGGGACTCAGTGGCTTAAACAACAGATGTCTATTTTCTTACAGT